ACACACACACACAGAGGTGGTGTGGTTACATCATTATGTTTCAGCTTTGCCACAGCGTCTTGGTGCAGACTTACTGGAATGGCATTGGGCTACAGCAGTCATAGCCAGCCACCTCCTTGATTTATTAATCTAATTAAAAAAAGTTAGTGTGTGCCTTCCTTCCTTCTCAGAGTGTACTGGTGTGCATTTATGCGTGTATATTTACACACCGACTTCTATATTTATTTCCCTTCCTGGACCATGTTCCACTTTGGGTCCGGAGAGAACCGAATAAATGACACATGAGCTTTAAGAAGGTTCTACCTGCTATATATACACACACACGAAGCCTTAATGGATGGAGCTTCTTAGCCCAACCTAATTAAAATGCTTTATTCATGTGAATGGTATGGAGGGGCAGCTTTAATATGTGATACATTCAACAGGAGAAAATGCTAACGCCACATCAGAAAGCGGACAGCCATTCCTTGCTATGAAATCAGATAGACGGCTAAAACGCTCTACTACGCTGCCACGCTGCTAGCTATGTATTACCCTTACATTGCTGCTTTTTATGCTTAATTTTCCTCCTTGGACCATGCAAAGTGCTCTTTGCTTAGATGTCTTGCTCATAAACAGACAAATCTCCGAAGGCATTCATTTCTACTTCTATCCCCATGAATAAGGCTTGTTGACTTTTACTGAAAAATAAACCTTATCAAGGATTATACAGAATGCTCCAGCGCATCCAAAATGTGTTGCGTTTCCTCCTGCAAGAAGACACTGATCACTGCAGTGTACAGGATTCATGGTTTTCCTTAAATAGACCAGCTAAAAACATTCTTGCAATGCATATCTGACACGTACAGACTCACATTCACACTGATATACCATGGTTAGCTAAGACAAATATTTTTAACCCGGTACGTAAGGCACTGATGAGCTCTCTACAGCCTTCATTTTCACTGGTGCACTGATGTTTGGTGCAGCGTGTGTTACAAATACTGAGAGTTTGTTTCATCTAAATTGTTATCTCCCATGTCTTACAGCAGGCTGATAAAAATAAATTGCACTTGGTATTTCTATAGGTTTACGCTCGGCTCTATATAGGCTCTGGTCGGGGTTATGCAGTCAGAGGGCACTGACAGTGCAGTGTTAAGGATCATCAATTTTAACAAGATGATTTATGATCTACTGTGACCCATAGATTCACTCCAATTACTTCCAAGTCAAGTCCAGTCACACTTTAACAATACATCCATGTCTATCCAGTAACTGACATGAATCATGTTAATTTTTTTCTTTAAAATAAAAAAAAAATAAAAATCATGTCAAAAAACATGTCTCCTGATGTCCTAAATATAATACATCCTTATTTACCAGATACCATTCTTGTAACACAGCATATTATAACGTGCATGTCCACATTTGAAAAGTGTGTTTAATTAGTATGCAGAGTGTGCCTCGTGCATTATCATTATTCTCTGTTGGGATTTACAGGTCCAATGTGCTGTGCAGGCGTCTTGGAAAAAGGTGAACTAGCTTTGGGGTTACAAATTTATCAGGATATTATCATTCATGTGTGCAAGTTTAAGTCTTGGTGAGTGCTTGTCTATGGAGGTATGGTCAGGAAAATATTTGTGTAAATATGCATATCACAACACTAAGAAATACACAGAAAACGCAGCCATGTGAAATCACACAGATGACCATAATAAAAGGCACTATGAATAAGTATGGAAGATAACTGAAATGAGCTTTATATGCTGCAGGCGAGCACAGAGAGAAAATCTGGGCCCTCTGGGGTCAATTGAGCAAAGTCTTATGCAAGTGCAGCATCCCAGTAAAATTCTGAATGAATGTGAACATTAGAAGAAAGTACAGCTAGGACGCTCTGCATTACAAAGGCAGATTCCTATTTAATGTTGGCATAAAGACAACTAAATATCTGCGTGCAGAAGGGGTAAACCATGTCGAGCGTGAGAGCTCATTTTGTGTTGAAGGGAGAGCCAAAGCGATGATCCAAAAAGCAGCCAAACCACTGACTGCGTCTGA